ACGCTAAAATAACTCATCGAGATAGTGTTCACTCTTAGAAATACTTCAAAACAAAATGAAAACGTGAACATAACATAAAGGATGTAGGAAATGTTGGGGCCATTAATCATCAAATCTAGATTCTAAATCCTAACATGAATTATGGGCACGAGGCGTTATTCCATCATCATTTCTTTTACCAGATACGTTCATACCCACAAAATAAAAATATATGTTGTGTTGTGCTTGCAAAATAACTTAAAACGAGGAGGCAAAGCCCATTGGCTAACACAAGTTCGAAAACATATGAATCGAAGCAAATGATACTTCCATGTGTGATAACCTTACATTAAATGCTACTAAAATGATACATCCAAAACATACTGATTTACTTGAAAATTTATGCAACACTCATATTTGTTCCATCTTCCATTCGAAATGATGAAACAATGTGGATGAGCATAGTCGACAAAGAATGACCATAACTGCTAATTTGTTCATCACTTCCAGCGCTGCCTATGTGGTATATAACCTTTAGATGCAGTAATTGGAGAAGAAATTCAAGAGACTGAGCATTGGTTCTACAGAGGGTAATGACCCAATTAATCCTAAAGGAAAAATAGCTAGAAAATTCCAAGAGGGTTGAAGTTTACTGTATTAATCGTACACTATAAACATCAGTAACAAAGTAGGCTTTAAGACCTGCTTACAGGAGCTAACATACAAGGGATGAACGTGTAACTTGTTCCAATACAGTTCAAAGTGAGAACTATTTCTCAGGACTAATGAAAATTTAATAAACTAGATGTTCAGACTACAGGGCAAGGACAAAAGTTGATTCTTTCCTAATTGGTTGGTCTAACCAAATTCTACACAAAAAACTAATCAATGTACCTCAACAAGAATGGAGTAAAATTTCTGTACATAATACCCAGCATGGCAAGTGAACCATACCTAAGTAGAGGAAAGTAGCACTGTTCCATGCCCAGAGGGTCTCCATCCAGTTCCAGAAGTCGCCGCTATGTAGATCGTCTAAACCTTGCGAAGCAGCTTTAAACAAAAAGAAAGTAACAGGCGGAAAAGCTATGAATCCCAAAACAAGGTTACAGGCTGCCCTTGAAAGAGCTTTAAAGCTCCCAGGCACTAGATCAAGCTTCAGGGGATGTACCAACAAGCACATGGACACTACCAAAAAAGCTCCAAGTTCTGCAGTAGCAAAGTTAATTACTGACATGAGGCACAAACCAATAAAGGCCGCTGAGGTGGTCATTGCTTTCAAGAAAGCCCACTCTTGAATCTGCTGTTCAGAAGATTTGGTGGAACTAAGTGGAGAGCACAATACCACTGACAAAATTAGTAGCGTGAGCAGTGAAAGCAGCGCCCAAATAATAGATCTTGTTGTAGGACTGTAACCAGGTATTTGGCAGATGAAGTATGGAAGTAAAGAAACAACAGCACCCCATACATGAACAACAAAAACTCTTTTTGCAGCATTAACCCATTTCCATGATCTTAAAGAGACAATAAGCTCATCATCAGAATTTGCTGAAGCTGCAGGTTCAACCTTTTCCATGGTCAAATTCAAGTTATTGGCATAAGAATAGAGAGAAGCCGCAACTGCTGGTAATGGAGCAACAAGGAGTGCAAAAGCAATCATATATATACCAACGGATACAAATTTGCTGGTAGATACCATAAGATACAGAAAGAATGACTGATGGAACTTCTCCAGGAGGTTGTTTACTGATCGCACAACTCCTTCAATTAGCCTGCACAACCAACTCGAAATCCTTAGCCAAATCAAAAGGATCAGAAGAATTTAATTCCTAGTCCATAATTAACTCAGGCTGGGCGTAAATTGTCAATTCAAATTTACTGAATTGAAAAGGACACAGATGTACAACTTATCAAACAGATTCTATTCGTTTTAAAAAAGAAACTCGGTACAAATTTATTTTAGTGAAAAGGAAGCATTTTCTCCTACCCCCATTAAAACTATTTGCAAATTAAAATTTAAACATTTGGCACTACCCGTGGGATGTGGGAAATGACAAATCATAGAAAAGCAGAAAATGTAGTGAGCCCTGAAAAGTTAATGGTGGGAGGAGGATGTATTATAAATTTCTTGGGGCATAAATGAGCACTGACCGGCCGCCTCGCAATATGAATTCATCATGCCCGACATTGACACCAGAAGGAAATTTGGGGGACATCTCCACAGTAATTGCATCAATTTGGAAATCTCGAAAAGCCCCATGGGAACCAGTAGGAATACCTACAGCCTAATGGCAAGAAGAATATGGATAATTTTAGTGAAAATAATCTCTGTTGTTAACATAAATGGAAACTAGTTCGTTATCCTAGCCCATTAAACGAAACCATAAACAACAATCTCTTAGAAAATGAATTAAAGAGAAAACTACCTGGTAGTACAATGAACTTGCAAGTGTGGCGGTGCCATCAACATAGTCAGAAGCTGGCATGCCAAACTTCCATTCAGGGTTCACGCTTCTGATAAATTTTCCTATCGAGTCAAACACTTCGCCCAAAACCTTGAGCCATTTGCAGTCTAGTAAAGGCAAAAACTTCTCAATCTTAATCCGAAAACCTTGCCTGTATACTGCAAGATAATTCACAATATTGATGAGGTCCAGATTTGGCATCTGACCATTGGATGCTTCAGCATAGACACTGAGACTATCCTCAAAGTATTCGCTTCTATTTGAAACCTTAATAACGAGGGCTGCAGCCATCGTTCCAGCACGTTTAAAATCACCTAGACTCACTTTTTCTGTCATATGGTTTGCTTCAAATTCATAAAGGACATTTGTCTCTGGACAAGCATCTGTGTCAATCATGATGGAACGACCAAATGCAGGAGTGTGATAGTCTCTAAGCCAAGCTGAAACTGCCGCATATTCCCCATATCGTGAATCCGCGATAAGCCATACAATGTCTTTGGCCAACCAAGTTACTTGGGCAAGCAAAGAAAACACTGAATAAGCAATACCAAGAGACAAAGTCTCATGAAGACTAGTCTTAACAGGATTGTAAGGAGTCACCAAAACTATGGCTTCCTTTCCATCGGCTTGTGGTGCTCTTATTATGCCAACAGTGTTAATACCCTGTGTCATGCAACTAACATTGTCCCGAATGATCCCAGGATCAGGGCTAGAGAAAAAGTGCACTGGATGGAACTGACTAAATTGCGGGTGGAACCTGTGGTAATTAACTTCAGCACCCAAGTTCAATATATATTGTGCTATAATCTTCTGGTTTCCACTGAAAAATGAATAGAAAGACAAATTCTTTATCATAGGTTAAGTAGAACAAAAAACGGTAATAGAGGCAAGGGGAGCAAGAAGATAATGCTTATGGAAATGCATAAAATATGCTATTATAAGTTCGAGGGGAAAGATGAATTGGATAACTATGAAATACATTGCAATATAAGGATAAAGATTTACGCACAATTACGTTAATGGTCATCTCTACACACCAACACTCCTCCTGTCCGACATAAAATGACATGCCAATCCACATGCACAGATTACATGGCCATAATACCAAACTCACGCAGACATCACATCTCAGGAAACAAGACTATATACCACATTTTGATGAAAGCCTTCATTTGATACATGTAACTTGTATGAGAACTTCAGAACTAATTGTCTAATACCTTTCCATACAAGAACTATCCTCAGCAAATGTCTCAAGATTGCAAATGAAGGAGGCTAATACTATATTCAGAAGTTCATATTGAAATCCAAACTCGGATAATATATCCAAATATTCCTCCAATTGGGTCCATGAATTCCTTGATATTTTCATGGGAATATAGGATACAAGTGAACTTCAAAGTTTAGCTCTACCACCGACTGGTTATAATTCTTGTAACTAGCAAAATAGTTCACCGAGTTAAAATGCGTAGATACCGTTAAAGCATGCAAATGCACGAAAGCATTAATGTCAGGGCATCTAAAACATAAATTACTCAGACAAAATTTTCAGTTTAATTGGTAATTCTCAAAATCACAAGCATACAAGTTCAGCATAACAAAAATTCCATTATGGTTTTAAAGGAGAAAAAGGGGGATAAAGCCGGTGCAGTGAGCGCATACAAGACTGTTGAGCCAGGCTGTAAATTCAAGCTCTTCAGATCCTTCACCAAGTTGTTCGAGTCTGAGACTTCCTGACCCGAAAGCATAGTATTTGCAGAGCCTGTGAGAAAATATATGCCACCAGATAGGATTACTGTCTATCCAAATAAAGTAAAATGAATCGATCACTGCAGAAGAACAAGGATACATAAATTTGATGATCCGATACTTCCGCAACTTCTAGTGAATCTTAATTTGTAATTAATCTACCAGGAGATCAATCAAGAAACCACAAAAATGATGAATAATGAATCAAACAAATTAGATAATGATAAGCAAGCTAAGCAAGAAGCCAAATTGACCTGGCATGAGAGCGTTCTCGGAAATGTAAGTGTTCATGGAGAACATGGGTAGTAGCAGAAGAGCTAAGACCCCTGCGGAGAAGCAAATCACGCTAGAAAACACCCAAAAAAGAAAAGAACAAGGCATTCATCAATGACTAGATTCTGATCCAAACTGTGAGTCAAATCCATGTAAAATCAACAGCAGCGCACCTGAAGAAAATACTGTGAGAAATAAGGAAAATCCCCAGGCGCACTATCGGCCGCGCCTTCATTTTTGGTTCCTCGGTCTCAGCCATCGGAAGAGGAGAGCTTCACGGTGGCGTTTTAGCTCTGAATCTGCTGCTCAATTGAAAAACCAAGTTCAGCAAAAGAAGAAGAAGAAGAAACGTGAGCTCAGTTAACCCGGAAGTATTCGGGTTGAACGGTCGGTTCGGTGTGTCAAAATGATATGAACCGGATGTTCGGCTTGATCGGTTCGGGTCTCGATTGATTCTGCACCACGTACATCAAAGATATTTCTTATGCAAACAAATTGCCCGCCAGAAACTTCGCATTTTCCTTTCTCCGTATTTTACACCGGCAAAATTTTCTCCTAGTTCAAGCTTTCGATCGTCTGGTTTTAAGCCGACGATGAAGCATCAATTCCCGATATCACTTCTAGTAGTTTTGGAAGTAATGAATTCTAATGCTATCGCCATCGTGTGCGGAAATCTTCACTGATGCTCCGATATATGGTGCTTGAAAATGACGGAAATGGAAATGAGGAATTCAAATCATTTGGAAATTCGATTCATGTTTCGCGTTCGCTGTTTCCTGGTAGTAGTTGGTGGAACTTAGATGAGCGTATGAAAGTAGAAATTGAAGCTGCGAAGCCGCTTATACTTTATTTAGCTCTTCATCAGGTATGGAAATTGGTTTGGGATATTAATCAATGGCTTCTCCTCGTTCCTTTTGAAGCTTCAACACTGCTGAGGCGCAGTTACTAAGCTGTTCTGTATTATCACTGTGCTGATATTTAGTTTTAGCGTTCTCTATACATCTGAAATTGATTTATCTTTACATGTTGACCACCGCACTAATTAGAAAAATCTTTCAAGAAAGATTCCATTCCCGCTTCTTCTTTTTTTTCTTCCTTCTTTTGATGAGAACAAGAAACTTTTCATCAGGTAAATTGAAAAGAATTACATCATAGCCAGCCCAAAAAAACCCTCTCCAATTGGTTGGTCCCAGGCTTGGAAGTTTTCTGAATGGGAAGATTGTTACTCGATTGAACAATGTGGGGTTGCAAGTAGATCCGGGAAGATTGAGGTTAGTTCATGAACTAGTTGCTTATTGAAAAGTGGGATTTGATTTAGTAGGTTATGGGGAATCCTTGTATGTCTTTTGAGGTTAAATTGTTACGTGATCACGATGGTTATATATATTACTTAATCGTTGATAGCCATGATTAGCACCTTTAGCAGATGTGTTCAATTTTCCTTAGAAGCCGATACCTTAATCTGTCAAGTCTTCCTATGAACAGTGTGTATAGCAATGTACGTATGAGATCCCACATCGGTTGGGAAAAAAAAACAAAGTATTCGAATTGTCAAAGTATATATAGTATTGTGTTTACTTGAATCTCTGTTGAACTTCTGGATTGATATCAGCTTACATTTGCTGCTTTTGCAGTTCAGTTGTCTAGTAAATTGCTTTGTTAATTTGTCTTTATTCAAATTCTTTGCTCACTTTTTGTCTGTGCAGCATAGTTGGCATTGGTTTCCATTTAAAAAGGAGAATAGTAGAACCCATAATTCTCTCAAATACAGGTTTGTACTGACAACTTGTCCATTAAGAAACAATAACGTCATCAAACAAGTTCAAATTTGTTCATAAAATGGTCATATCCACGTCTTCCTCTTGAATTGCAATAAGAATCATCTCTTAATTGCTTGAAGATCAGAGGCAATCAAGAAGCGAACCAGGTATAAGCTAAATGACTATAATTATACAAAGCAGTTGGAGAAAGACTAAATTGTAGCAAAAGTGTTCACCTCTTTTCAACCAGGCACTCGCCTCACCTATTTTCCACACTTGAAAGGTCCAACAATGGTGAGCTTGGCGAGCACATCAATTGAGATGCTTGCTAAAGCACTGTACAATGCAAAACATTTGCCCCACCTTGCTGTGCTCCATAGGCACGCAAGTAAAAACGGCCTATGGACTGATTTTTTGTGAGATCCAATTTTAGTTGGGATGGAGAACGAAGAATTCCTTATAAGGGTATGAAAACTTCTCCCTAGTAGACACGTTTTAAAATCGTGAAGTTGACGGCGATACATTAACGAGTCAAAGCGGACAATATCTGCTAGCAGCAGGTTTGAGTTATTATATCTTTACACTGTGTGTTCTTATATAGTTCACTCACCAAAATAGTCTTGTTTGTTATCTGTAGGGGGAAAGAAACATGAATCATTTTTGTCTTGATTTCAATTGAGTTTTGTTTCAGAACTCGCAATGTGGGGGAGATTGTGACAGTAGAAGGCCAGACGTACACTATCTTAGCTGCAACTCTAGGGGAAGTATGAACCAAGTGAAGAGAGCCTTGATGTGTTGTTCACGGGAAGGTACGTCTTCAATTTGTAAATAAACCAATGACATTTATAAACTTAATTTTTATCCCTAAAAATTCATTTTTAGTTTTTGAGTTTGTTAGTTTCGTGAAGGTACCAACCAAATCAACTCCTAAAAAGTTGTTGGATTAAAGTATCTCGAACATTCTCCATAGATTTGACGACTGCTTTACCTCCTTCAATAAAGTCAGAAAATAGAAGTTTAGGTTTAGGTTCAAGTTTAGTTACTTTACCTCATTCGAAAAGGTCAGAGGTCGAAGAATAGAGGTGGAGGTGGAAGTTTAGGATTAGAGAGAGGTGCTTTTAGCTCTTTCAAGCAGTATTATAAAACTAAAAGTTTAAAAATAAAAATGTGTTGAAATTTATGGTCTGAATTGAGTCTAAATTAAAAAAAAAAAAAAAAAAAAAAAAAAAAA